GACTTTTATGCTTTAAAAAGCTGCATTAAAACTTACTACTAGTTGTTGAAGCTATAATAATAGTAAAGAAAAGCAATATTAGAAATAAGTTGAAAACTAATTGGGTAACATACTTGTTGTTGTGGTAACTAATGTTGATTAAGTCATAATAAAATACAAATGAAACTAAGTTCAAAACCAATTAAACGACGTTTTTCTTCTGTGCTATACTTTTGAGTGTATATTTTTTTTTATTAATTTACTTCTATTATTAGCTCGCAAGATACATTAACAAATTTAAAGAACAAAATAAAAGATATGATTAATAAACGTTTTTCGATTACAACAAATGACTCATCAATGCATAGCATTTGAATGAGTTTATTCACACTTCTTATTTGAAAGAAATCAATATAAGATTAAGTCACAATCGAATCAAGACAGTTTTCAGGAACTTTTAATCATCACAGCACTCTACTTGACAAATCCATTATTGAACGACAATTTTAGTGAACGAAATAAATAATCACATTTATCATCATTTGAAATTAAGTTTGGTGATTACCAAAAATACAAACATTAAATTGATAAGTAAAACGTCACTAAGGTGTTATCGCCAAGAGTTCAAGAAAAACATGTAATCTTTAGGTTAATGGAATTTGCACGAACTTAAAGCTCATACTAATAATTACATGGAAAAAGTCAATTAACTCTTCAAAAACGCCATGACAGTCTTTCTATCGACAAGTATTGGTACTATCTCTCACACTTATTATCAACAAACAACTTCTTGAACGTACATATCTCTTCAAAGATGCAACAATCATTGTATTATGATTCTCGAGAAAGCTGAAACTAACACAAGTGTACTCAAATATGTCAAATGATTTAATATTTCACCATTAAAAGTACAAATAATTATTTATAATGTTTTTATTATACCATGTTTTCAACTTATATATACAATATGGTCGTAATTGTTGATCAGCACAATTAAAAAAAACCGAAGCGAGATCTAGACATATTGAGCAACTTATCAATAAATGGACGGGGGCCTTTCTCACAGGACAAATCATTTAGGAACAAAAAGTTACTATGCCTTGTACTAGAATACAATTACGCATCTTCATTCAATTTTGTAGCAAGTAAGGGTGTGGGTGTATGAATCGATATCTTCTCTTCTTTCACATCCACACCCTGAAAATATGTTGCAAAATTTTATGCATGCAATCCTTTGTCCTAGCAACGTTCTGTCCATGCAAAGAATTGTCTGCGTCGAGTTGTCCGCAACTATTTGTCCATGATGATCTGTCGTTGCGCCCTTTTGCTGACGTTGTGAAGTTTTCATATATTTCATGAAAATTGAACTTTTGCAATATACTTTAACAGAATTTTGGCTAGGTTTATTTGGATGTACTTGCAGAAATATATTTGCTAACTTTGATAAATGTGTCAATCCCTGTTTCATTCAGACTTTAACTTTTTTTTTTAGGAACTACCGTATTTCTTCACCATTTTTCTTCATTGTATGTCATTACTCTTTACAAAATGAAGTGTGAGTGTGGGTGTGGGTGTGTAAATTTTCTGTTCACCTATTTCCACACCTATCATACATAGAAATTAGTTGTTACTGGCAGTAGAACTAGTAGTGATTTGAATGTCTGCAATCACTGAAATAATTGATTATATTAAAAAAAAGAAAAGAATGCATTAAATAGATGATATTTTCAAAAAATAATAATAGTGTACTACACAGAGAAAAAATATTCTCGTACATTAACATCAACTTATTTATACGTAGCTTAATTTTTAATTACATCATAGAGTAGTTCACTTCCATTGATTTGTTTTTCGTTATCTTGAAATAAACTAATAACTTTTACCGTGATATTTACCTTTATTCGATGTCGCTCGACCAACAGTCAGTGCCACAGGCACACCAACACACGCTGCTACTACAGCAACAGCTACTATCGCCGTTGCTACCTTTGATAAAGGTGTTTCTAGGAAAGCACTAGCACGTTTCCTTCATTCATGAAGAAACAAGTAATAGCTAAAGTTTGAGTTTGATTCCGAAATCTTTTACTTACGTAGCAATGTTTGAGTCGACGTTTACTACCGAGTCAAGATCAACATTGATCTTAGATGGTGATTGTGTTTGTAGCTGCTGTCGATAGGTCTGCTGTTGCTATAATAGTAAGAATGACTTTATATATGTCGAAGAAAAAAAAGATGACCATTGAACTTACAAGACGTTGAGGTAGATAGTCACATCTAGCTTGTGAGACGGTTGGCATGATCAATGCTGCTTTTTGTCACGCACTTTCATCAATACCATTGATGTTTGTGACAGGGAGCTAATGTATTTCAATAACAATAATTAATGTAATGAAATGGTATTTACTTAACGAAAAGCTTTCAAACACTTTCACTATTTGTTTATTGTAGTGCGTGAAAATTGTTTCAAATCAATTTTACGAAACAACAAAACGAGTATATATAAAGAAAGTGGATACTTTTTTAAAAAAATGACAAAAAACAAGTATTCAGCCATCATTCTTCAACTACGTCGTTCCAGTTTACTTCTTCTGAAAACATCTTAAATCATATGCCCCCAAACATGTTTTGAATGAACTTTTTACATAATAACAATTGTAAAAGTGAAGAGAAAAAGATGAATAGAAATATAATTTCTAACCATATTATTTATCTAACCTTGCAATTTCTGTAAGACATAGAACCTGATTCAATCAACTAATTATCTAATCACTGCCTAGTTTTTGACTCTTCAAACAACACAGTTAGACTTTTGTGCTCAATTACGATTTATCATACAATATATATATAAAGGGTGTTGATATGTTCTATTGAAGTATAATAAATCCATGTTCATTCATGCCGCATTACAGACAGAGAGTTAAATCAGAATGATATTAAGAAAGTTTTTTTTTACATCGATCTATAAATCATAAACGTTGAGAATGGAATAACAAAACGGAGTAACTCATCATATAAGTTGACAATGTTTAAAATTCAATCATGTTAGAATGTCAATACGCTATTAGTTCATTCTAGTTGTATTTTATCTTTAAGAACAGTTACACATTTTACTCATGGTATTGTTTTGACATATATGACTTTCCATCTTAAGAAATATGTAATTGATATATGCTTTAGAAAAGTACTAAATATAATTGATTCTGTTATTACTTGCAAGTCATTACATTTTAGTTCCATATAACAATAGTACTTTGAAACTAGTGCAGATAATTACACAGTGTAATAGCCACAGATAAAGTCACTGAATTAGAAATGAAGCTGATTATTGGCTTTAGTAATAGTGACTTATAGATAATACGAATATGAAATATGATAATAAGTGTTAGAAAAATCTTGCTTGTTTTTGACTTTCTCGTCGTTGAAGCTTATACAAAAATGTGAAGTTCTCATGCTTTCAGATGCATAATACGATCTTTTTAGTGATTATCATTGTCACTGGACAAATAAAAAAGGTTAGATAATGACGCATTCAAAATAGTAACTTAATCAATAATTACTTTTGTTAACTCTGTTAACTGTGAAAATTTGTTTCGAAATAAATAAAAGTTACAAAAAGAAAGTTTTCGAAATTACTGTTCACACGCAGAAAATTTGAATTTTTCTTTCAAAGTTCACATTTGTCAACCGATCAGAAACTGTTGATTGTGAGTTTAGAATTTCTTCAAATAATTGAACGGTTGTCTCAAATAATTTGACGATATGCTAAACTTTTTCAGGTGTTATAATGTAAACAATTTTTATCAAATGGATTATGCTTTAATAAAAACACTATTTCCAGAAAGAAAAAATAATGCTTTCAGCCACTTCAACTATTGTTGAAGATTTACTACTTTGTGAACATTTTTCTTTTACAAAATTACAAAATACGAAAGAAATAAAACTATGTGGATGATTTGGATTGAAAAACATGTTTTTATGAAAATGAATATTTTCGAAATAATATATGTAAATTTTCTATGTGTTTAATTTTATTTTTTCTTTAGTAAAAATGACTTATCAGAGTTTGTTTCAGAATATAAGACAAAAACAAACGGTTTAAATATTTTTATTTGATTAAATAATGATAATTCGTGTGTAACATTGATTTGATTTTGATTCGTTTGATTTGTAGACGAAGAATTATTTAACACGATGTCACATACTTTTTTACCATCTGTACAAAGAATATCAAAATCTAGTTGTTTTGAACATGTTTAGTAAATATTTGCCTCTCTCATCAAAATTTGCCCAAGAACAATGATTTGTAGGTGAAGTTCGAACTACTCTTATTTCTAATTTTTTTTTAATGATCTTTAGTATGAATAAAAGAAAATACAATCAATCATAAAAATATATAAGATATCGATATTGTGATCTTATCTATTTCGATGTCAATCTGATCTTCCATAATTTTATAGGTGTTGAATTAAAGAGAATATTTTGGTTTGTTGTTTATAAAACATGTATTTATTGTTATCGGGAAATGTGAGAAGTATTTATGTAATGATATCAAATTCATCAAGATTGAAAACTACAAAAATGTATGTTCAATATATTATTTTATAATTCATTGTTTGGAAAGTATACGTTTCGATTTCAACAAAGTTGTTTAGTAACTAATTCAGATTTCTGTATTTGGTAAAAATAAATCTAATTTGTCAAGATTCTATTCCTCAGTTAATAAAATACTTCAGATAACGGGTATTTTAAGATTCAGTTTTTTCTTTTATCTTTCATGTTGAAAACGAAATGTATGTGAGATACACAAATACATACGTATATAGTTCTTTTTATAGTTACAATTAGCTCCACATTATTTGACGTCAGATAATGGAAATCGGAAAATTTATATGATTGGAAAGAATTTAAAAAAAAGAAAGGTATACAATCTTTGAATACATGATCAAGTGTTTATGAATATTTGAAATACACTGTAGAAATATTAGCCATATCCTCAATTGAAATATATTATAATATGTTTATCATATTATAATACTAATGAATACAGTTATTATCGCAAAAATTAGAACTTTTTCTTGATGATTATAAGTATAACTTTTTGTATGCGGTATTGCTTCATTAATTGTTATAGTCGTATAAAGTTCTGTTGAAGTTTCATAGAATGAAAATTGTGGTTTCAAATGTTCATTATCGTTTTTAAGAATATTATTTATCCAATCATAATAATAGGATAATCGAGTATAAACATCTGGATGACCAAGTTTTGCACAACCGTTTCCATGTGAAACAATACCTACTTGTTCCCAATATTGTCCTGTCCATTGGAATATAGGTCCACCTGAATCACCTACAAATAACATTGATTTAATGTTAAAAAATAAAATAAAATTCAAATTCATTACAAAAAACTTACCTTGACAAGAATCTCAAAATATAAGATTAAAATATAAATTTTAAATACAAAAAAAATCTCTTATAGACAAACCTTTTCCATCATCTGGTAATCCGACGCAAAATTGTATTTCTGAATCATTCATTGCGCTTATACACATTGGATCTTCATTATCAATCGCATAAACTTCTACTTGTTGAAGAATTGTAGGCGACTGAAAATGATTCTGTTTTTTATATATTGATTGTTCAATATTGGTGGATTGACACGATGTATACATGTTTTTGTTAAATTTGGGTTATGTTCAATCATCAATGATTGATTAATATGCATTAAAGCAATATCATAACGATAATTATTTTGTCTACCAATATAATTTGTATGAATATAAATTTGGTCAACAGAATGTCAAATTTGCTTTGAATCTGAAAGATTTGTCATACCAACTGCAACAGTGACACCAACAGGTGGATTTGATACAAGTCCATGTATACAATGAGCAGCAGTGAGAATATAAGAATTAGATAATATAGTTCCACCACAACGATGATAATTATCAAAAATTCAACGCATTGAAATTATCATTGGCAAACTTGATTTCAAAGCATTTTCACCACCAACTATACGTGATGGTGTTAAAGATTCAGGAGTACTACTATAACCACATGTTGATGTTGTAGTACATCGATATAAGACAGGAGACTTTGCAGTTGTCGTACTAGTACTAATCGTAGTTATGGTTAATGTTGATGAAGATGTTACTGAACAATGATGAATGATTGATTGAAATTCAATCGTTATATTCTATAATTCAAGTGTAGATTTCTGAATTTTTAAATGAAACACAGTTGATTATATGTGATGCAATTCCAACTTGTTGCCAACGATCTTCCAACCATACAAATATTGGATTGCCAGGATCTCGTATATTTCAAAAATAAAGACAAAAAATATCCATAAAATAAAGTATTTATACATACCAACACATGGAACTAAAACAAGAAGAATTTAATACATTCATAAATAAATATATGTCGAATTTAAATTCTAACCTGTACCACCTTCTTTTACTGCTGCATAAAATTGAATATTACGATGTTTCTCCAATATAAAACAAGATTTATTTGTCTAACTCATAGAATATAGTTGAACTTGTTAAAGTAAATCCTAAGTAGTTTTATTTTGACAATTCATAGTTCCCCATCCAATTAGTGCTAAACGTATTCCAGGTTGTGGATGATGCATTGAATTTTCTATTGATTCAAGTTTTTCAGGGAAACATATTCGACTAATAAAAGGATTATTATCGAAAACTAGTGGTTGAGACATATGCAAAATTGCAATATCATTTGCGTAATTGTCTGATATTTTTATATAATCTCGATGTAAAAATATTTGATCAACTTTTCGATATGTTACATCTTCTTCAGAATAATTATGAATACTAGTTACAATACTTATACCAAATGATGGTACATTAGCAATACAAGAAGCAGATGTTAAAATATAAGATTCAGATAAAATTGATCCACTACATGCATGTTTATTAGTACTATTCAAACGTATAGAAACAATCATTGACCAGCTCTAAAGTATTGCTTCGTTAGCAGTCACAATATTTGTTTGAGGAAATTGAACACTTCGACGATCACAACTACATGGTACTGCGTATTGATCACATAGATAAATAGTTGAAGGTATGTCTGTTATATCTTTTGGTGGAAGAGTTATCGTGAAAGGTATTTCTTCTGTAACTTCATCAATAGTTGTTATATGCTTTTCAATCCAATCACGATAATATGCAGTACGTGTATAAACAATGGCAGAGTTTTTTCTACAACTATCTGGTATAAAGGATGCAATACCAATTTGTTCCCAATGATCTTCGCTTCAGTGAAATATTGGACCGCCAATATCACCTAATTATAAAATAAGTATAAAAATACGCAATATAACTTCGTGTCACATACCATGACAAGAACCAAAACATATACATATATAAAGGTAAGATTGAAGCACGAAAAGAACATAATCATTTTATAACCTGTGCTTGTATAAGATAATCCTGCACAGAATTGTCTCTTTGAATCACTGACTATATTATTGCATTTAGTGTCATTATGATCAATTAAAAAAGTTGCCGTTTGTTCTAACATATTTGAGTGATTTCCAAAATAAATTGTACGCTCCCATCCAACAACAACTAAATTTTCATCTGTTGATGGATATTCCATAAATTCTTTTGAAGTCTTTAATTGTGGTGGAAGAGATGTTCGTGTAATACAAGAATTTATATGAAAATTAAGTGGTTGTGATAAATGAAGCAAAACAATATCATGATGATATCCATTTCTTGAACGTGTCTAATTTTTATGACTTATAATTTGATCAACTTGTCGTATGTTTTGATCTAATTCAGATCTACTATGCATGTCAGCAGCAATACTCATATTTGCAAATTTTATATCATCAATAATTGTTTCTCAACATCTAGCTGCAGTGAGAATATATGAATCTGTCAGAATACTTTCTCCACAAGTATGCATTGATAAATTCTTCTCAATAAAATCATAGCGTAATGATACAACCATTGGTCAACTACATTGTATAGCTTGTTCACCATTTATAATACGTGTATTTATTTCAACATTTGATGGATCACAACCACAAGAAAGTTCTTTACTACATTTATAACGTTTTGCATCAGTTAAAACACTAATGATTAATAATACGAATAAAACTAGTTTCATTAATTGAAAATTTATTATAATTTCGGACAGATAGAAACTAGTCTATGATAATTAACTGTATATATATTAATTTAAGAGACAAACTAGTAGGTATTTTTCATTGGCTCAGGTATGTTGACCTGAGTTTATATGTACATAAATAATATTGATTATTATAACTTGTACAAAATAAATGGAAACTAGATCAAAAATGGATTAGTCTGAAAAAAAAGAAAATTGATATCGGAGAGTATATTTCGTTGATTTCTCGGACAGAAAACGTCTTTTCTTTGTAAGACAGTCTCATATGCAATAGCGAACAGGAGATATATTATTTATTCGAACTATATTATTATTAACGACTTCTGAAAGGTATACTTATATAAAATTTCAAAGTATGTTTTTATTTATTTCAAATCTTTGCTAAAGGTAGATTAATAAAATCCAAAACAGATCCATGAATTATATTTTGACGTCACTTCTTTTTTCGAAAATATATCTCAAATGTAAGTCCAAATTAAATATTCATAGTTTCGTACAATATCAAAATGGACATTATTTGTATTATAAATGATCTGATTTTGGAAATAAGCAGTCAACAATTCTAGGAATCATTAGAATGAGTCTATCATATCTTTTAGAGATCGTTTGTTGAATATTATAATCAAGAAATAACTATCATTATAATTTTCTCTCGACTAAAAGAAGTGTCACACGAAATAAAATAAGTTTATATGTTTGCTTGTTTGCATGCGTGTGTATGGTCACTTATTCACATTGAAACATCACACGAAGCATTTAAGATTGCTACTTTGTACTGTATCTTCAACCGACGAGATGTTTTCACCATCTAATTTTAGTGAAATCAGTTTTTTTAACCAACTATGGGTGTAGGTCTTGGGATATGCTGTTGGCATGCATGTAGACTTTTGTTTAGGTGTGAGTAATGAAGTATTGATGTTGTTCTGTTGATGTGGTGGATGCTCCTTAAATGTAGCTATGTCTGTGATTGTTTGAATAGATCATGAGAAGAGTCAGAAGATTCTGTACACTGAAAGCCATCTCTATCCTGACACCAGTATACATAGCAATATCTACACTTAGATTTACACGCATCCTTATGCATACATTTGTTATTGATATTAATTGTGGAAAAAAGTATGATGAACATGAATGCTTGTTGAATATTTTGATTAGAAACAGTACATAGAGGTCAGCAGCTTTTATTGTTCAAAAAAGAAATGAGAACAAAATAAAAGTGTACTAACTAAATTATATTGCAAATAAATCAGTCAAGTAAACGAACATTTTTCATACATTGTCAAATTTTTTTCTAAATCAATTATGATTTCTGATAAAAGTCATGAATATAAACCAGTGTTCACTGTCGATTTACACTAGACACACTTTTTTTATCTGATCTTGTCCACAAGTAATAGACATTTGTTGAAAACTTTCAAATCAACCCACTGATTATGGATCACTGTAAACTAGAATTTAATCAAGTTCTTCGATTGAGCTGTATGAACTGGTAACGCTCGTTTGTAATTTCAATTTGATCTTAAGTTGTTTGACCATAAATATCATGAATTCACCCTGTAAATAATGTTTTCGATATTTTAATATAGGATAATGTCGATCGTAGAAATAAATATTAATATTTCACTTGTCTTGATCGAACAGCCCAAAGATTGCAACTTTAAATGTGCGATCGATTCATATAATATAATTTATCAAACTTTTACATTCATCACATTTCTATTTCGAATGTTGAACGGTACATATCTCTAACCATTCACCTAGTCTAAGTGTACAAAAAAACCATTCATACTCATTATAATTTGACATTGATAATAGTTAACTCTAATTTGAAAAATAAATAAGCTTTAAAAACAGTATATGCTATTGATTCGACAACTTTTGATGCAATGGATCGTTACACATGGTATATCATTTATAAGAGAAAATTAGCAATTTATAAAACCACTACAATCATCAAGACAATGATTAACTAATACCGAATGGCATATGTAAATTCTAGATTTTATCTCGGAACGTGACACTTTCATGCGAAGACATGTCCGTGCGCGATACTAGGATGTGGATGTTAATTTGAGTGAAGAGAAAAATGATGAATACACTCGCATTCTCGGGATTTTAATATCATTTTGCGTGACGATTAATTTAAAATGGTTAGATCGATAGTTAATTTTCGCATGTGACCATCGCTATTCATCAACTGCAAAAAGGTTATTTAATCGTCCTCCTTTCCTTACTTGTATATGACTGTTCTTTTTCGTATACATTTTTTTGTAGACAACTATTCACGAAGTTCGAAAGAACTATTAACTTAACCTAAACAGGACAGAAAAAAATTCATTTTGCACATAAGTATTAACACGGTAGTGTGACGCGCGGAGATGTCTTTTCACGCAAGTGTTGTGCGCGAAAATTTTGGTTAACCATTTCATCTTAGTACATTTAACTGTAAACTTACAACATTTTAAAAATATTTTCTACTAAGAAAAAATAAAGAAATCAAGTACATAAATTTATTTTAAAAATGAATGTGATAAGTTCCAGTTGACTAAAAATCAGAAAGAATATCGATAATGTTCTTCACAGGACCAGATAATTGTAACATATTCTCAACCAAATGAATGTGCAATAAACTGTAATACATATAGTTTTATGGACTTCAATTATTGACCAATTAGATCTTAGTGTGTTACTCTAGATATTATTTTCGACATATGATTAATCAATAGTATGTGTAACTTGAAAACAGACAAGAGTTATTTTCAGAGATACATCATTTAATGAATTTAGTAATAAAAGTCTAAATTAATTTTTCATCATTTGCTTAATATTCTTCATGAATCATTTCATCGTTTATTGAAATATTTATCAAGTCGATATTGGTGTGTAATTAGTTATCGTAATCATTTATTTTATAAGTATGAAACTGTAACAAATTCAATTTATTTTACTAGTTTCTCTAATAGGAATTCAATATGAATGGTAAGATACAATTTATATATTTTTTTATTCTTAATTTTTATAACATCATTTATCTTTTTTTTTCATTAAATTTTGTTTTATTATTACGACAAACTTCACTCAATGTTTCTTTTAGGTTTATTCATTGGATAACGAAATATAATCGAACACGACAATATAATATAGCATAGTTATTCTCTAGATTATTATTGTATTTGGTTAAATAATGAATATATTGATTTTGCTTTTATATAAAAAATGCCAACAAGAATAAATTTCTCATTCAACAACTATTCCGATCGTTAATTATTCATTTCAATTGTATAAAGAAAAAACTACGCTACAATTAAATCAACAACACACCACAATTCTTATATGTTCCTATTTGATAAATACTAAATAGAACTTTTGATTGAACGAGAATTTAAGTATTCATTAAAGTATCAAGTGTGTGTTTTCTTTTATGTTCTTGACAGGAGTGTATAAAAATCATGCATTATCTTGACCAAACGAGAACATCTTTGAAAAATAGATCTAGTTCATAATGTTAAATACAAACAATTTTCATGATCAAATGTTGTTCTCCTACGGCAATGCTTAGTCGTCGTTTTACAAATGAATTAAATTATGAATTAGTTGTCTATTTCATGTTTTTTCCTTTGTGTCTACCTAATTGATTATAGACACATGTTATTGTGTATGTGGAACTCAAATATGATCTTTCTAATGTGACATATGATCATTCTCAGTAAACAATACTTAATAGGAGACATTTCTCGAGTGATGAATCATATGTCACAAAAGTAAACACAGATTAGATCTACTCACTAATACGAGAGATTACTGTATATGATGGCTTAATTTTGAACAATGCATCGTAACATTGAGGTTCAATAATTGTATTTTTGTCCGTTATTGAAAAATGATTGATACATATGATTAGTAAGTTGTGTTGATTGTTTTTGTAATAACATCATTTATAATGAAACTTGTCGGAATGAACATGACTTGAAATTATAGTAATAAAACTTATCTTATGAAGAAGTTATTCTAACTAATTTAGCGCTTTTAAAGTGATATTCTGCTCATAAATAGGATTCAGTGTAACTAAAAACTCTTTCAAACCGTTTGTGCTGAGTTTCAAACTTTAATTTTGGAATCATGAATCGTAATAGACAAACGAGTGTAAAAAAAAACAGTGAAACAAAACTCATGACGAGGTTATGTCTGTTATATCTGTGATGGGTCATTGTCGAAAATCTGTCTCCATATTTAGGTAAACGGAGGAACAAAGCTCTTGTCCTGCACTTCAATACTCTGTTTAGTTTGTATTTCACAAATGCCCAAAATGTATAAAACTCTAATCAGTACATAGATATTCTATGACAAAAGTATTTTAAAAGATAGGATGCACAGCTTAGAAAAAAATCTAATTCCAGACCACTCAAGAAGAAAAATTATTTTAAGACTGTGGAAAGATAGAAAGAAAGATATAGTAAATAAGACATACTCGATTCAGAACAGAGAAGAAATATGTTTATATAAGGCATTCTTTTTATATTTATGAAATTAAACAATGTTTACCTTAAGTTTTTTGTTATATGACAACTTAAAATCGATTGAATTCTTTTATTTAATTAGCATAAAACAAACTACAAAAATCTAATTGAAAAACAACCTAATCTTTTCTAGTTCTGACAGAAAAAAACTTCATTTGAATTCGATTAATTTTATTGTGTTAGTACTACTCACGAGATATAAAATCTTTTCTGTTCTTTGATGTAGCAGCAGAACTCGACAATATGACTTTTATGATGCATTTTATACGTTGTCGATTAATCAAGATTTGTTTATTTTGACATTAGATAAACATTGTTAGCAAGCAAAGGTTTCATATTAAGACAGATTTTCTCTTGTTTTAATTACTTAAATAATGATAGACAAGTATCAATTATAACAGGCATTAATCGAAATATATGTCAATCAACAGAAACAAATAAATTAAATAAGACTAGATTTGATGAGAACAATGTAAAAATGCCAGAATACCAGCTAAAACTATTGACTAGATGGTGTCAGTTTCTGTCAGCTCAGTTCGATTCCATTCATTCTAATATTGATTTTCACAAAATTCAACGAAACAGAGCTTCAATGAGTTTCCAAGTCGACCAGGGATACAGAAACGGCGTTTTTCAGTCCGTTGAATGTATCGTCAAGCCCTCACATGCATTGTTTTTCGTTACTATATTGTAATGCAAAGTACAGAATGTCCTAAGGTCAAATTTCTTTAATGTATATTTAACATACTGCAATGTATGATGAGTAACTTTCGCATATTTAATGTTACTTTAATGTCGTTTAGATTGCTTGAATTATTTTTATGTTTGATTGCATTTCAAGTACACAAGTATGCTATTTTCTCCTAGCGTCATCTACATATTTCTCGATAAATACAAATAACATATTTCCTCTTCTACTACCAAGAAAGTATTAATGCCATCATCTTCTTTTTTTTCTTGTTCTTAGTAAAAAAAATCCATTTCTATTTATTTTTACTTTGCCTATTTGATGTTAAATTACCTGTTGATTTGTGTAATTTTTACAAATTTCTAGATCAAAAGAAGAAAAACATAGATAAGCGAACGAACGTTATCAAAAATAATAATGTAAATAATATTTATTTACTTTTTGTTATCAGTACATGTTGTAAAAATATATTTGTTGATTTTTTTTTCTTCTAAATATATTTTATTTTCGTCCGTCATTATATTTAATTAGATCTAATCAACGATTATTTCTTCGTTATATTATAAAATAAAAACGAAAGACGAAAATGTCGATATCAAAAATAAAACATGCAGCTAAATCATTAAAAAATTTTCAAGGTATTCGTTTTGAAGAATGTTTGGATAATGGTGAAACAGCTGAACAATTAAATAAATGGCTTTTAGAAGTATCATGGGAAGTTGCAAATAAAGGTTATTTATAAAAATTTATTCGTATTTTGTTTTGTTTTTTTTTTCAATATACAAGATAATTTTAGTTGGAGGAATTTATACTGTTATACGTTCGAAAGTACCCGTAACAAAAAAAGAATATGGAAATAATTATATTTGTTTGGGTCCATATAATGATTCATTTGTTAAAACTGAAGTTGAAATTTGTGAATCAAAAATTGATGCGATTAGAGAATCAGTTAATGAAATGAAACGTTTTGGTATTCATGTAAGTTATATTAAGCAAAAAAAAAAAAAACAGTTTTAATTGATAGTATTATACTAACGAAATATTTTAGGTTGTAACTGGAAATTGGTTAATTGATGGTTTTCCTCAAGTTGTTCTTTTTGATATTGGTTCAGCAGCACATAGATTAGATGGTTGGAAAGGTGATTTTTTTGAATATGCACGTATTGGTATACCATATCATGATAGAGAATCAAATGATGCATTATTATTTGGTTTTTGTGTGTTTTGGTTTCTTGGTCTTGTAAGTTCTAACTAAACTAGTTATATATGATGATATTTGATTTATTTATTTATCTATTTTCTTTCTAGTTTATTGATCAAGTAAAACGAAAACAAAAAAGTTATGTTATCGCTCATTTTCATGAATGGTTAACTGGTGTTGGTCTTATAATGACACGTCTACGTAGTTATGATTGTGCTTTAATATTTACTACACATGCAACACTTTTAGGAAGATATTTATGTGCTGGTTCAGCAGATTTCTATAATAATTTACCTTTCGTATAAAAATTACTTAATCAACAAAAAAATTATCTAAAATTAATGTTATTTTCTTTTTTAATGTTTAGTTTGATCTTGATAAAGAAGCTGGTGATCGTCAAATCTATCATCGATATTGTATTGAACGTGCTGCTGCATCATGTGCACATGTATTTACAACTGTTTCAAAAATAACTGGCATTGAATCTGAACATCTTTTAAAAAAGAAACCTGGTAGAAAAATCTAATATATATAAATTATTTGTTTTTTTTTTATCATACCTTTTGTTTTTATATAATTAGATGTAGTAACACCTAATGGACTTAATGTTCAAAAATTTGCTGCATTACATGAATTTCAAAATTTACATGCACGAAATAAAGACAAACTCAATGCATTTATACGCGGACATTTTTATGGGTAAATTATTATCTTTTTTTTCTGTGCATAAAAAAAAAATTTCGACGTAATTTAGACATTATGATTTTGATTTGGATAAAACATTGTATTTTTTTATTGCTGGTCGATATGAATATACAAATAAAGGTGCTGATATGTTTATTGAATCATTAGCTCGATTAAATCATCTGCTTAAAGTAAATAAAAAAAAAAACTATTGTCGTGTTTTATAAAAACTGGTAGTTTTTTTAAGTCGTCAGGTTCTGAAGTAACTATTGTGGCATTCCTTATTTTTCCGACAGCAACGAACAATTTTAATGTTGAATCATTACGTGGTCAATCTATTGCAAAAATGTTTCGAGATACAGTAAGCAATATACAAGGTGATATTGGAAAAAGACTGTATGAAATTAGTCTTAAGTAAGTAAATCAAATAAATATAGCAATTGAAGTGTATGAAGTTTATGATATAAAGTATTTCAGTAGTATTGTCAAGTTTTTATGACATACGAACAATGAAATATTAATATGCAAAACCTTAAAGTTGATGATAATGTTTTGTTGATTTAAGGATATTTGATTTTAAATAATAATCCTATGCTCGGTATATATGAAAAATCTAAATTAAAATAAAGTGCTAATCTATGAACTTACAAATTTTCTAAATAATAAATCATTCAATTTATTTCGTCAGAGGTCAACTTCCGACTGCTGAACAAATTTTACATTCAAGTGATTTAATTGAATTAAAAAAATGTATTTATGCATCACAAGTATAATCATGAATATTGTCTTATTTTCTTGTTTAAAAATTAAACCTTTCTTTCTAGCGTTCGACACTACCACCCATATGCACACATAATGTATGTGATGATGTTCAGGATCCAATATTAAAGGCTTTACGTCGTTGCCAATTATTTAATGCACGTTCAGATCGTGTTAAAGTTATATTTCATCCTGAATTTTTACGTTCAACAAGTCCATTATTACCACTTGATTATGATGAATTTGTACGTGGTTGTCATTTGGGTGTATTTCCATCTTATTATGAACCATGGGGTTATACACCAGCTGAATGTACAGTTATGGGTGTACCAAATATTTCAACGAATTTAAGTGGTTTTGGATGTTTTATGGAAGAACATGTTAATGAACCTCAAACATATGGAATTTATGTTGTTGATAGAAGATATAAAAGTGGTGAAGAATCATGTCAACAACTTGCACAAGTAAAATTAAAGAAAAATCATTTTCAAAACAAATTGATCTTTGCTTTTTTGTTTTGTTTTAGTATATGTTTGATTTTTCATTATTAACTAGACGACAACGTATTATTTTACGTAATCGTACAGAGCGATTAAGTGAATTACTCGATTGGAATATATTAGGCATTGTAAGTAAAATAAAACAGAATATTCTGTCGCGCAGAGGTATAATTTAGTCTATTTCTTAATGATTTGACCTATTATAATACGCTACAAATCACATCAGTCTGCAAGTACTCGTGATCTATTTTATTCAATTTGGTCTGTTTGTCTATCGTGACTAGTATTTGTTTTTTTTTTTGCATACTAATATTATCATGATAATTAAAAGGAAACAGAAGATTGTCTTTATATGAAGATAAAGAAGTTATACAGACTGGAATGACATGACTATGTAAAAGATTGATTGATTTAATATAGTATTTATGCGTCGGAAATAGATAAACAAAAAAAGATTAACTTTTAGAAGAAAACATTCGGTTTTCAGTAAGAACATTGTGAATTGATTAAATCAACAGAATCAAAAGGACGTATTAAGTCTTACTAAATTAAGACAAAATGAATATGAAACAGAAAAAAAAACTAATCAACGATTTATATTAGATAATGTTAACTGTTGAGAAAGTGTAAACTTTGAGTTAATGAAATAGATGAACAAATTAAACAAATAAACAGATAATGAACAAAGTTGTCACAATTTTTATTGTTTATATCAAACATGATTGCTCTATCCGAAGCTGTAGTCGAAACTAATGTAATGTAAAACATAGGCTTCAGAATTGGTCGAAAATCCATATTTTTTAGATTTTTGTGAGTAATTCCAACGGATTTGAGACCTGTGTTTTGTATTTGACAAAATTTAAGAATAGCTTCGGAAAGAGCGTTTAAAAGTAATAACAACTAGTATGAAGCATTGCTAGGAGTTCAGTATTTTTCAATACTGGACATGTGTTTTTGTAAGCACGAATAAACTAATGTCTTGAGTTTCTAATCAAAGATTAGAATATATTTCCAATATTGAGAATTACTAAACTTCTAGTTATTCTTAAATTTTGTCTGATACAACGCCCAGGTGTTGAAGTCAGTTGGCATTGGTCGAAAAAAACTAAAAACTATAAATTTTTGACGAGTTCTGAAATCTTTATTTTGTATTTCATGAATTTTGACTACATCTTCAAAAAGAGCAATCATGATAATATAAACAAACAACAGGAACTACATTCTTAATAAAGGAAAAAGTATTATAATTAACATCATGTTCTAGGAGTCGATAAATTTCCTAATTGTATCCTATCAAAATAATTAAAAGAAATTATCTCTTATATTTTCACCGCAAATATACTACATTGTAATATATTTTCATACCAACATTTCATTTTCAGAAACCGAAATATTTCGGAAAAACATACACGACAAGCGATTTGTCTTGCATGTCTAAGATTCTGACGTGACCTACAATTGTTTCGAAAATCAGGCTCAGTACCTATCTTAGATAAGAAAACGGACAAGGTCATCTACATAGTTGGAACTCAATTGTTATATGTATTGAGGATACAGAATTTTTTTTTTCTTCTGTATTAATATTCCGTATAAATTTTGGCGATGTACTCTTGCTATCATACTTGAATCCGTTAATAAATGTTGTTCTTATGAAGAAGAAAATAAAATTTGAAATGTTTTTCGACCGAGAGAACTACTCCAAGTGACACTTGCCGTTTGAATTCATATTAAACTACATGAAGGTCTCAGTGAGAATAATAAAAGCCTAAAATGATTCTTTTCCATTGGTCTTTGACGCCAAGTTTTGACCTATTTTCAGGTACTCCTACGAAAATTGTATGATGAAGTTTTGATCCAAAATTTTGTCTATAGATGGACATAATTGCTCTTAGAATAACTTGAAAGATTTGGTCGAAAACAATGTTCATTCGTCAAGTTATTGAGTTTTCAAATGAACTTGTTTTTTTTTTGTAACATGTCTGTGGCAAACGGCTATTTTTTGGAAATCCAGTATCTATGGGCAAATTATTAGATCGTAAATCTGTCATTCGATTTATTGGGAACTACCTACTAATGAATCGAAAATCCAGTAAAGCTGATTAGAACTCGGCGACAAAGGTCTATAGGAACGAACTCTTTTAGCTTTTTGCTAATCTGACTGAGACTTACCTACGGGTCCAAAATGATTTCAAATGACGTGTATCACTTTGGGTAGTTTCCTTGTAAGTATCGAACTTTGTATCATGCGTTTTTTCGTTTTAGTATTACTATCGCGCTCGTCAAATGGCATTAACACGTATTCATCCTGAATTCGAAGAAGAAATGCTCAAATTCGTATATATTTTCTCTCTATTAATGTTCTCTAGGATGTTTTCTTCAGGCAAGTGAAACATCATCGAATCCTTCAACACCAGCTATATCTCGTTCATCAACACCAGCACCACCTGAACATGATGATGAAGGAACTGAGGATGAAGATGAAAGTCACCTACAACCACCACCACCACAAATATCATCCCAAAAAGTAATTCATTAAACATGAAATACAAACGTTAATTAATTCTCATTTTAGATTCCACCTAAAGAACCTTCATCAACCGATCAAGCATATAAACCTTCATTTACACGTCCAGCATCAGCTACACATCTTCCTCTTGATAAACAATTTCGTGCAGCTGCTGTTGCTGCTGCTAATGCTGCAGCAGCAAATGAACCAACATTTCCTGATGCTCTTGACGATGAAATAAGTCAAATAACAATTGGAAAAGAACATCAATCAAATGTAGCATCTACGACCCACACAATGAAACATGATGATAAAGTTGATTTTAGTTTACATGATCATGATGAGTCAAATAATTCACATCATAATCAAAAACAAGTGCCACACCATGATAACAAAACATCAATATCAACAAAAAATGATTTTACTATATCGCGTGAATTGCAAGAAACAACAATTACTGGAAATACAACTTCAGCTGAATCTACAAGTGCTGAAAATATTCTATCGTCATTGAAGCTTGAAGAACAACAGAATACTAAACCAACAGGAAAAGAACAACAGAATACTAAACCAACAGGAAAAGAACAATCATAAATCGTCATTCGTGTAGTTAAATAATTGTTACCCTATAGATACATAGAACTATGTTGCATACAGGAACAGGAGTGTTGTTTTTTGTTTTGTTTTCACAATTTAAACAAGTCCATGATGTTTATCTGTCCTGTATTTTTCTTGTTGAAGTGAAAAAATTAGCTTATAGCTTATTTGTTTTATCCCCTGGCTTCAATAAATTACCTTTTAAATCAGTGGAAAATATTTATATGACTCGATGGTATTATTCTGGGTGTACAAAAAGTAAAAGGATGTAACGAGGAAGTATACATTCGAATCACCATCAAATTCGATGGTGAAGCTGAGAACTAGGGCTAGAGTGAGCTGAGCCATCTGGCTCAATTTATTAAGAAAAAAAATATGTCTTTCCAAAACGTCACTGGGAATTAGCTGAGTCTCCTTTGGTTCTGTCACTGATTAAAATATTCGCGCTTTAATGTGCTCAAGTCATGAACAAACACTGAAATGTTACAGTCGGTAAACTTACTTATTGCTCTGATGATTTTTTTTTATACAGCCATTTTGACACAATACAAGCAAGGTTATGTTTTGTGAGATGAATGCAAATTAATGCATGATAAAAGCGATCATTCAACGGAATGTGTCTATCCTGTAGACGAACCAATACTTCATCTTATTTCGTTTTTCTCTAAAATTGAAGTGACATCTATAACAATGAAAAAAAATAAAAATTTGCTTATAAAAATTTTTTGAAAAGCATTTTAATTTTTTCTTTGATGAAATTTTATTCAAATTAAATCATCTAGAATATTTAAGAACTTGAATATTTTCTTTTCTCCAATGAAAATCTCTACTGATAATCCACACATTCCATACATATATTAATGTTGTTTTTCTTGTTTTTTTACCCTAACATGTTGACTTTGATTTCAATCGGTCACATTTTTAAGTATTCCTTTTTTTTTTCTGAGTCATCAGATATCTACGATCAAGATATATTGATTTTTAAACAATAATAAATATTATTCGAATGATTAGTAACTAATAAGATATAATTTTGGATATGAATAGACACTCATTTTTTTATATTTTATAGAGAATGATTAGATAATCATGTTTCTTTTTTTGCTTTAGATGGCTGATATTCTTCGACGAGTTGCCCTTTTGGCTATCAATCGTAAGTTGATTTAAGTTTTTTAATTACGAATTAACTCGTTCGAGAATAATAATTTATGTAGAGACCGAGAGACCAACATTAAACCGATTTGAGTTTTCAAACTGATGCAAAACCAGAAACAACAACTATGAATTCTAGTTAGAATAGTATCATGAAATGTAATGGTAAGTTTTCTGTCTTGGACGATGCACTAGATTATTCTGTACAGACTTTTATTGACTTAAATTTAAAACATTGGAAAATTAACTTTTGATAAGCTTCCGTCTATGATTGAATAAATAGAGCATAGTTACTTCAACTATTTTTTTTCTTTTTCGTGCAACGTTCCTATCAAGTTAATCTTAGGCATGAAACAATGAGTCTATTTATATAATTTATTCTCAAGATGATCACTTGATGAGATTCGAACCATATTCATTTTACTACTTGGACAGATCATAGAAAGAATAATCTAGTTCCAATTAAATAATAATTAATAAATCCTCAAAGCTTTTACATTTACTAAGATGATTTCGAATGTATGAAAATCTTTATTTTCAAACAAATGAGAAATAACCTTTTGATTAAATATCAATCTTTGAATTATATGACAAAAAAAATTTCTTTTTTTTTATCTAGGTGCATCATGTGGAAAACTCCATATGCCAATTCGTACAGTATTTTCAAGTTCAGGTATTGGTATTGATAATTTTAAATTATCTCGAGATCAACATGCTTCACGTTATGCACCATCACTTGGTAAATATTTCATTTCATTATTTTAGTTTTAGTTATTTATTGTTTTCCATTTAGATGCTTTTAAAAAGCGTTTTGTTGATTCTATTGAAGAACCAAATTCTCAAATCTTTACAGAAGATTTACGTAATATGATTATGTCAGCTGATAATGATCAAGAAATTGATATTGTTATTCAAGCATTAAAAAAGTCTTCAAAAAAACAAAAATTTTAATATTTTATTTTCTAAATTATTTTTTTATTTTGTATTTAGATATAGTACAAATAAAGTTAAATTTAGTGATTATCATTTTGGTTCACCTATTATGCGTTTACTTTATATACAAAATAAAACTGATTTAGCTTTAGAATTATATATGAATGAAGTAAAAAAAAAACAAAAAATTTAATTAATAAAAATTTTAATTTTAAATATTTAAATAGGATTTAAAAAATATATTCAATGATTCTGCATCAGCACTTGTTCTTATGAATAAATTAATTGAAGAAAAACGTTATGATGATGCAATTAAAGTATTTGAACATGGTAGTAAACGTGGATTTTCAACAACTAGTGGACGAACATATCCATCAGATGTTGTTATGTTAGCTATTGAAGGATTATTTCGAAAAGTAAAAATATTTTTATTGAAATAAAAATATTACAAAAATTTTTTTTTCGTAGAATACAAAAGAAGCATTAGTGAAAGCAAAAGAAATTATTTCTAAAGTAAGAGAACGTGATTCTGATATAAATCCACGTACAGCTGCTATGGTTGCATTATTAGCTATTCAACAAGTAAAAAGAAAAAGAAAACAAACAATAGATTTTTATAATTTAAAAATTAATTGTCGATTTATTTTTAGGGTGAACCATCATTTGCTATGGAAATTTTAGGCGCTGTTCGAGTACAAAACTATACTATGATAAAAAATATTCGAGTATGAGAATGGTTTTTCAATGAATATATTCAAAGATTAAAATTGGTTTTTTTTTCAGGCTATTTGTTATGCTGATATGGAACGAGTTGAAGAAGCTATAAATGTTGTTCAGTTACTTGCGGAACAAACACCAGTCAGTGCTGATCGTCGACGAGTTTTTCCACTTGTGGTTAGTAATATACAATTACAAAGTGTAGTAAAAGTATTGCATGTAACTCTAGTAAATGTTGATGTCTTTTCTTTCAAAAGATGCGCTATTGAACATTCTATTTGAATCTATTTTAGAAGTTTTAATAGACTGTTAACCAAGGAGGAAAGTAACGAGCAAATTTATTGATTTAATTCTTTCATCTGGAAATATCTATTGAGCGAAAATCACAATTTCATATGAAATTTACGGAATCGAAGAATTTGAATCTGTAATTAAATATATCGTCTAAAAAAACAGTGAACTATATTCGCAAATTTCTAGATAAAACTTCCTCAACGCATCTCATAGGATGCATAACTGAAGTGATGAACGATTTTGATTTTTCACATCGTCTGCAATAGTCCATTTTTATCTAACATTGATTTTATTAAAGCGTACCTTAGTTATCAATCATAAAATGAATATCTATTTTTGGCTACTTCTTAATTGCGGACAAAATCGCAGACCTCACCCACACTGTCGGCATGCTAATTGGTTTGATTTTCGTCCGCAATCAAGAAGACACGCTATTTTTCTCGTGTGAAAAATAACACGATGATACGCATAAAAATTTGCTTCCATGATTCGAGTAGAATATATAATGGCACATCGTTTGAAATAAAGAAATCATCAACTTGTTATTCTATTCCTAAACAAATTTATATGCAAAACAAAGACTGTCGTAAAACTTTTGCCACATTCGATATAATTGAAGAATTTCCTTTGATAGATGAGACATATCCGATTGGCTGCTGAAAAATTAAATGATCCAAATCTTTTAACACGTTTTGAAGAATTATCAAAAATGGTTTTAAAAAATAATCGTTTATCAACAACTGATTTACCAGAATTTCTTGGTGAACCAATCAAGTACAATGATCCTATTCTTTTTTTTTTGTATATTTTTTGAAATATCAATTCATTTTATTTTAGTCGTCGTGGTCCTGCCAGACAGGGTACACAACGAAATATTCTTGGTAACTTTCAACGAAATGTTGGAGAATTTGTAAATATTAAATTGAAAAAAAAACCCAAAGAAATGTATTATTTTTAAAATTGTTTTTATAGCGTAATCGTGGAGAATTTAATCAACAATCAAATAATTTCCGGCAAGGAAATACAGGTGGATTTAATCGATCATTTGGAGGATTTAATAGAGATAATCGATTTGGATATAACAATTTTCAAAGACAAGATCTTAGTTATGAACGACGGTATGTGAAATCTTAACACTAAATACAGATTTATATGGACGTATAAAGTTTTTTTTCTTACAAAAAAACGAAATTTCCCAAGTAGATCTATGTTCATAAATAATACTGTTGAGTCTGTCAATATGCAACTGTGTTAAAGAAAAACGCCTCACAGAGAATAAAGAAAGAGAAAAATGTAAATGAAAAGGTTATAGATAATTAAAGTTAATTTTAATACTTCTCCACAAATCACTTTTGAAATTGCTAAACTATCAACAAGGTTTTTCTTATCGATACAATTTTGATTGTTATATTACGACTATTGATAGATTGCGGAAGGACAAGTAAAATGAATCCTTCATTTATCAAAATCAAGAGAATAAAAGCGTGTCGCGACAGCCCTGTATTTTGTCATCATATGATTAAGAGTGTCTCACGCAAATAAGAAAGAAAAGCCTTATCTAATTACATGGTTAATTTTATTATTAAAGAAAATGGAAGGATATTTTCGTTTTAAAATCTTATGTAAGTTATCTTTGATTAATCAATTCTATGACATCTATATGAAATATTGAAGATGATAATTTCTTTGGTTTAATTTGTTTCTATACAATATTATTCGTTGTTTTTTTTTAGCTCACAAAACGCCTTTGGAGATGGTTATCAACGTAATAATGAGAATGATCGATTTCCAACTCGTAATCGAAGTTCATCACTTAATGAATATTCTCGTCAAGAAGGTCGTAATCAACAGCAATATCAATCATTTTCACGTTTAAATCGTAGTGATAGTGGATCGTCACC